AACAGAAACGGAGATACACGTACACAAACTAGACACTACCTATCACTAGACAACAACACTCGCACACACAGAACAGAAACGGATATACACATACACAAACTAGACACTACCTATCACTAGCTCAATTGAACAACAACACTCGCACACACGCACACATACGTTCTAAAAACACATGAACAAATTTGTACACAAATAGTTACAAGAGCGCACACGCACACATATGTTTGTACGTTTTCCATGTGTATGTTGGTGCGTATTCGCGCGTGAATCCGATAGCGTTCCGTACAAGTAAGCGTATCTATATACGTATGTATGGGTCCTTGTGGGTACATATGTGATACATATCTATATTCCATATTCGCATATATATCGTTGTGTATATGCATCTATATCATTTAGTATTCCATATTCGCATATATATCGTTGTGTATATGCATCTATATCACTGAGTATTCCATATTCGCATATATATCGTTGTGTATATGCATCTATATCACTGAGTATTCCATATTCGCATATATATCGTTGTGTATATGCATCTATATCAATGAGTATTCCATATTCGCATATATATCGTTGTGTATATGCATCTGTATCACTGAGTATTCCATATTCGCATATATATCGTTGTGTATGTCTTTGTGTAAGTGGCCAACCCAGAGAGCTAGACTACATACAAAACTGCCTCCTCACGTTGTTGATTAGACGTCTGGTCCTGTTGAGATGAAGCACGATTTAGTTGCACTATACACACGCTTGTGTGTCCCCTATAATAATGTATACGAGTGTGTGGGCTTGCATGTGCACGCGTGCCTTTAAGTATTCGTATATGTATGTAGATGTGCATGCATATACTATATGCACATGTCCCTGCTCATGTGCTAGACTATAAAAGTACGAATAGATATATCCCAGACTATAAATAGACCTACACCAGACTATATATAGACCTACCCCAGACTATAGATAGACCTATCTCAGACTATAAATAGACCTACCTCAGACTATACATAGACCTACCTCATACTATAAATAGACCTACCTCCACGCGTTGCTGATTGGGTGTCTGGTCCTGTTGATTGAGTCCGTGAGGAGTGCCTACGCCCATGTGGTCGTGGTGTGTCTCACTGATCAGCTCGCCGTTCAGATACACAGCCGCGTAGGTGCCTGACACCTGCGGTTGGGATACCACAATGACACTCGAGGGTTATTTTCACACGTGAGAAAATATCGCAACACATGGGGGAATGTGTAGGTGGATATTACCGGGGAGGACTACACCACATGAAATTGGAATACATGGGAAAATAACGCGTGGGATAAATAAGCCTTTGCGCGCATGACTTCAATTCAGCCCAAGCAGTGCCACACCAAAACTCGTACTTGCGAAAGCACGGTTGGTGAGAAAATAACACAGATAAACAAACATGTAAAAATAACACATAGGAAAATAACACTTGAGAAAATAACACACGAAAAAATAACACATGGGAAAATAACATGCATCAGAATATAAAATGTGAGGGTTTTGCACTCACGCCCTATGCACCAACCAATTCACACATTATACACCAACTAATTCACACCCTATACACCAACTAATTCACAGCCTATGCACCAACTAATTCACACCCTATGCACCAACTAATTCACACATTATACACCAACTAATTCACACCCTATACATCAACTAATTCACACCCTATACACCAACCAATTCACACTTCATACACCAACTAATTCACACCCTATACACCAACTAATTCACATCTTATGCACCAATTAACTCACACCCTATGCACCAACTAATTCACAGCCTAAGCACCAACTAATTCACACCCTATACACCAACTAATTCACACCCTATACACCAACCAATTCACACATTATACACCAACTAATTCACACCCTATACACCAACTAATTCACATATTATGCACCAATTAACTCACACCCTATGCACCAACTAATTCACAGCCTATGCATCAACTAATCCACACCCTATACACCAACTTATTCACACCCTATGCACCAGCTAATTCAGCCAGCGCACTCGCACCGACAGTCGTACCTGCGAATGCACGTTGGCAAAGTGAGCCCAGGTGCCGCCCAAGTGGGTGGTATCACCCGTAGTACGCGACAGACTCCCCACATCAAACCTGTACTGTTGCGGACGGCCGGAACTAGGCATGGAGAACACGAACCTGGAGACGAGGATATACATAGCACAAGACAATAGAATAGAATGTATCAGGTATTGGTGTATTGCTTGTGTTTATAATGGGCATGTAAAATAACGGAGTGTTATATTGTGGGGTAAGAAGGACTGAGGATATCACGACAGGACGTATTGAACCATAGACAAGGATATAGCACCGACTTGTACGATAGCATGTGATGGAAGTGACGTAGTAAGTCACGACGTGATTAATCTGACATGGGCATACGCTAAGCACGACATGCAGAAGCCTATGTACTTTACAATAGCGCACTCAAGTACGCATGGACACGTACAACCCATGGCCTCACCGATAGAGATCGCACATACACACACGCCTATACCCACGAATACGAGAAGCAACCCAAAACCCCACACTCGTGTGAGTATTTGAATGTTTCTTAATATACACACATATGAAAGCACGTGCCAGTTATATAGTCAAAATATAGGCACCTTTACCATAGACGGCACATACCGGCCAGTGCGTTTGTATGGATTGGTCCCGTCTGTGGCGGTCTTGGCTTGCTCTCCCGAGGCTATGGCCCAAATGGCCCTATACAGCAGCAGAGACAACACACCTTGGATGAGGGAATGAGACACGCAGCCGGGAAATGGGTACGCTCACATGGACAAATGTAACCAGATATGCATATACGATACTCTGAAAACGACACTATGAATACGACACTCTCAATACGAAACTCTAAATACGACAGTTTAAATACGACACTCTAAATACGACACTCTGAACACGGCACTCTAGATACGACACTCTAAATACGACACTCTGAACACGGCACTCTAGATACGACACTCTAGATACGACACTCTAAATACGACACTCTCAATACGACACTCTGAATACGACACGCTAAATACGACACTCTGAATACGACACTCTAAATACGACACTCTCAATACGACACTCTAAATACGACACTCTCAATACGACACTCTAAATATGACACTCTGAATACGACACTCTAAATACGACACTCTAAATACGATACTCTTAACACGACACTCTGAATACGACACTCAAAATAAGACACTCAAAATACGAAACTCGAAATACGACACTCTAAATAAGACACTCTAAATACGACACTCTTAACACGACACTCAAAATACGACACTCTAAATACGACACTCTGAATACGACACTCTAAATACGACACTCAAATACGACACTCTTACGGTACATACATTTGATCTTTCTATCGTGAACGACACCTTCCTAGATCAGCACCACGCAATATTAAATCAATAGTTGCCCAGTCCTTTGGGAAGTAGATATGTAGCCTCAACCTTCAGATGATTGTGCATAACTACAGATAGAACGTCACATTCACAGGAACACACATACCCGATGGATGGAGGTGCGAGTTATGCATGTGCAACCACATCTACCAAAACACACACACACACTCACTCACTCACTCACCCACTCACTCACTCCCTCACACTCACACACTCGCACATACACACACACACACACATACATACATACATACACACACACACGCACCTTCAACTGCGATACGCCCTTTAACTATATACACCAAACCCTACAGCGATCACTCCACAATCCCCCGAAGCACATCTTCTCCACAACAGAGGCAAAGGTAGAGGTTTCGATACGCAGGGGGCGCACGGGTAGTCCGAGCATGAATAAACCTACACCCACACATATATACACCACACAGATATCCTTAACATACATACAAGTACATAGACACGCACATATATACACCACACAGATAAACTTAACATACTTACCAGTACATAGACACGCACATATATACACCACACAGATAAACTTAACATACATACCAGTACATAGACACGCACATATATACACCACACAGATAAACTTAAAATACATACCAGTACATAGACACGCACATATATACACCACACAGATAACCTTAACATACATACAAGTACTAGACACGCACATATATACACCACACAGATAAACTTAACATACATACCAGTACATAGACACGCACATATATACACCACACAGATAAACTTAACATACATACCAGTACATAGACACGCACATATATACACCACACAGATAATCTTAACATATACACAAGTACATAGACACGCACACTCACCCGTCGGAGATCCGATCCTTGATGATGTACACCCACCCTTCCACCGTGACCGGACCCCCCCCAAACCGAGTGATATTGTCGACCTCAGAGGTGTAGTTGCCCACAGGCCATCGGAAATAGGGCGCGTACATGTAGTCATTCTCACCATCGCACGAAATGGCATAGCCAGCACTGCCTGCCTGCGGACGCCAATTACGCTTGATGTGAAGAAACAGGTGGATGTAGTCGGTTCTTTCGTCCTGTGTGGTGAGATAGGGTAAATAAGGTTTGAGTGTTATATGTGTATGTATATTTAGGTGAATATGTATAGATATAGACATATATTTATAAATATATATATATATATATATATGTGTGTGTGTGTGTGTGTGTGTGTGTGTGTGTGTGTGTGTGTGTCTGTGTGTCTGTGTGTGTGTGTGTGTGTGTGTGTGTGTGTGTATAGTGTGTGTGTGTGTGTGTGTGTGTGTGTGTGTGTGTATGTGTGTGTGTACATGTACATATATATATATTACATATATATATGTAAGTGTGTGTGTGTATGCGTATATATATATATATATGTATATATATTGTGAGTAACTAATTTAGTTCACGAACGGTTTAGAGTAAAACAACGTATTTACTTCATAGGATCAAAGTAGTGTAATAGCCTACAAGGTTGTGAGGACTGATCATCCCACAACCTTGACATATATACCCTAAAGTTAGACATTGCCTGCCGTCAGACCCTCTGGTCACTGACGCAACATCTCCTTTCTCGCCATACATTCCGTCATACTATTACACTACACTACTAAATGTTTTATGCTCTTCTTCTATTGGTCTAGGCTTACCAAATCAGCTGTAGACATAAACCAATATCATAAGACACACAACATTTCTCCATGCCTCCATCACTCTAAAAAAAATCACCTCTCATACACCCGAACCATCAAGCATGCATCAGACACAATTCAGTTCTGCACAGGAGCCTTCAAGCTCACTACTATCTGTGGACCACACCCATATTACAATATATATATATATATATATATATTAGTCGTACATGTTTACGTCTATTAACACTCTTAATTGGCACATATACATACATCATATACGTACACAGATGATTCAATCAATAAAACAGCGAATTAAAACAATCAATGAATTCATAATACGTTACTCACCGTTTCTGGTGTGAGTGTGAATTGGGATACCCTCTGCACTTGGAATGTGATGTTTCCAAAGTATCCGGGGCTGACGAGTAGATTCAGATCTGTCGAATTGACTACTATCGGCAATTGTGTGAAATTCGCATACACTCCTGTAGATATCGCATACGAAGTTATAGATGCAACTGAGTGTGTGCATATGTGAATAAATATATGTATAGATTCAACTGAGTGTGTGCATATGTGAATAAGTATATGTATAGATGCAACTGAGTGTGTGCATATGTGAATAAATATATGTATAGATGCAACTGAATGTGTGCATATGTGAATAAGTATATGTATAGATGCAACTGAGTGTGTGCATATGTGAATAAGTATATGTATAGATGCAACTGAGTGTGTGCATATGTGGATAAGTATATGTATACATATAGATAAGAAGGAAACATATCGAATCGTGGTATTCCAAGAAAATGAGATATGAGGGATAGAAGTGTATCATTGTTCGAATTTTTAAGTATACGAAGTATAGGTATATACCCGGCTATTTTAAACGCTAAAATGATATGGACAGGAATTGCCATCATCCTCGCCTCCCACTCGATGGGATTATGTACATGTAGGATTCGCTTGACATACAGATGACCATACGAAGCAACGAAGCAGTGGTATATAAGCCATAGAGATAAACACGTTTCACGTACCATGTTGTACTTGCTTTATGTACACTGTTGGAATAACTTTCTAAAGTGTGTGACCTTGCCAATGCGTTTGCTAGTGCATCTGTTGACTGTCACCAAAGGCTATAAACCAACTGTGGACGAAGACTCGGCTGGGCCTTATAGGTCCCGTGCATATACATGCGAACGAATAACGTATACAAGAGCAACGTATAAACGAAAAACGTATACACAAGTAAGTTATGTTGGTACTATATGTAGTGCATGAATGAGGGGTTGCATTGCAGTATGGTATGACTATACCTCGTCTTAATCATCTGGATACGAATGCACACTTGTATTGATGACACTCAATGCGTAATGTCAGTAGGACATGAAGTAAAGGGATTGAAGTATTATATGTCTATAACTTATCTTATATCTTAACCATTTACTGTAGATACTAATACGCCCTTGTATTGGTGGTACCCAATATGTGATTTAGGTAGTACACCCAGTCAATGGGTTGTGCTATAGTATACAACACTGTACTATAGTATATAACACTGTACTACAGCATACACCATTGTACTATAGTATATACCATTGTACTATAGTATATACCAGTTGATGCTCTCGCATACGGCTACACACCTGGACTGACTAGAATCAATGCGGCTCCGGCGTCGTTGGCAACGCTGGACACCTGTCCTTCGGAATTGGACACAGTTGCGTTGCGCACGAGAATGTACTTGAACTCACTGTGTAGGGTCAAGTGAGCATAGTGAGCATGGGCCTTAGAAGGTAGATAGGTATTGTCCATTGGTAGGTACTGCCCGGGTGATGTAGGTGGGTAGGTACTGCCCGGGTGATGTAGGTAGATAAGTACTGTCCGGGTGATGTAGGTAGGTAGGTACTGTCCGGGTGATGTAGGTAGGTAAGTACCGTCCGGGTGATGTAGGTAGGTAGGTACTGTCCGGGTGATGTAGGTAGGTAGGTACTGTCCGGGTGATGTCATATAGACCTGTACAGGTACGTGGTCTCGGTGAATGCACATGCACAAAGGGTGTTGCAATCGGATGTGACTATAATGCAGGCTTTTAGCTTTGAAACAGGTGTTTGGAGTACGCCCAGGTACACATGTCAGTATACACTCGCTCGGTGCATGTAGCGTAATAGGAAGGATGATATAAATATACAGATATATTCATACATAGAAGTACTTAATACACAGACAAGACTCAGCCCGGCTACCGACCCCTGAACATCCACTTATGCCGTACATTTAGGCAGGTATATATGCACATAGTTTAGATTATATTGCACTGTGGATATATATCTATATATATATATGCATATATAAATTTATAAA